GACAGAAATTAACGAACAGAAGTGCATTGTTCAAGAAATAACTATAGCCCCGGTCATGTATCTTTAATTGGCCAATCGACAATTGCTATTTAATGTACCTGTAAGTTTTTCCACTGCCCGTTTGACCATAAGCAATGAAAGTGCAGTTGAATCCTTGTAAAAAATTTTCCAGAAGAGGGCTGCCGAAATGATCGTAAACCACTGACTGGTCTGAGAACATCCTCGTATCATCAACGCTCCAAAACGTGGCCTCGAAATTGAAGTCGAACCGATTTGCCCCTGTATCGACAGTCACTATATGCGACTTGATGTTCATATCCACGCAGATGTCCAGTTGTTTATCGATTAGCCGTCGTTTCTCAGAAGCACTCACTGGACGCACTCGAACACCGACTTCGACAGCGGTGTGCGACTCCAGGGAACGAACACCGCTACTCGTCACTGAACCGATACAGTCACGCTCCTTCATGAACGACCACTGCTAACAAACAGTGATCATGAACATGGCATTCGATCACAGTTGGTATTCGCAACTGGTTGACAAGCAACATAGGTAACATAGCTCAGTGTTGATGGTTATTTTTTTTTGCATATTTCTAGCTATATATGTCATGTATATTATTACCTTGTTATATTTGTATCTATTTTGTTTGGATGTGTTTATTATTCTCTCATCATGTGTTAAAGACCAAAATATACATTGAATACCTGTTTTAAGCAGCGATTAAGCGTATTAAGAATAGTGACAAACCTTACACAACCTTTAGGAAACTTAATTTTAAGCTACACAATCGATCGAGCCCATTAAATAAATACATTTTTTCCAAAACATACGTGGAGTAAAGAAACATCGACCTTTTAACTATTCGCTACAGATCACTGTCGTATCCACCAGACAATTAACCTAAAGATACATTTTTCCGTTGAAACGAAAACTGGAGTTTAGCCTTTCAGCACAAATAAAACATTAATATGTAAATTATAGTAAAGACATCAAAGTCAAAATGAATTAGCAAAGCCCTAAAATGATATCAGATGAACAGAGAAATGATTAGAAACCTGAAAAGTATAACACAATAACCTGAAATAAAATACCCATGTATGAGCCTTAGAAATTATCTAAAATACCCATAAAACCTTAACTTTAAGAAGCCGTGTAGCACACGGTGTGTTGAAGTAGGAACACGTCGAAGGATTCCTCTTAATACATGACTTCATGTCTCAAACCGTTTCATTATCTATCTGCCACTCGACAACAGTCAAAATAACTGTTATTGTCTTTTTGTTATTCACGGTTTAAGGCTGCATGTTAATGGGACTAAGCAAAATCTATTATTCTCAACGCGTTTCAGCCATGCACTCTGGCGTCATTGTCACAATTAAATGTACAAATGAAACTACACAATGTTCAGAAAAACACCGGGTTACGTGGGAGTCGGAGTGACCGTACTG